ACCATGTGCTCAGAGAACAAAGAAGGACTCTTCCCTCCTGAGTTAGTCAGTATCTTACCCGTCTCCTGGCTTGTTTGATAGCTTGTAATATATCAAATGTGAACTTGTAAAATTATCTTTAGCTAATATGAGATTATATGTAAAGGTAAAATAGTTAGAATTAGTAAACATTTTCTATAAATATAGTTCAACCCTTGAAGAAAGACACGCACACACTTTGTATAAAATGACATTTGAATGCTTGATAGGAAATATAAAAAGGTATAAAAATATGAAATCCAACAATCCCTCTTTTGATCTCCCCATATTCATGGGAGATCACACCCTTTTGGATGTTTACAAATGGAAGTGAGTAACACTGCCACCCCACCCAAACTTACTGCAACCCTCCAGGGGTCCTGGACCAGACCCATGGTTAAAACCCTTCAAAACCTGTAAAAAATACCAAACGAATAAACCTTTATAAAAATACAAAAAACACTACAACACTCCTAGTAAAAGATAAATACCCAACACACTAAAATAAGTAAAACTCCACCCTAATACCAAAATTGACCTCTTTTTAAACCACCTTTAAAATACCTCGTGGTATTTTAGAATGATTAAATGCCCAATTGAATGGAGTAAAATTTTGAATAGTTAAGAGTTTCCAATTGAATCCACGACCCTTCTCTGGTTGTTCCTCAGAATGACTGAAAGAAAAGACAAGACACTCATGTTAAACAGGAAAAGACAAAACACTCAATTTAAACAGGACTATCTAGCAGGTCTTCGGTTGTTGAGCTTGCGGTGGGAGGCCTTGTTCGTCCACAAGGGTCCTTTTGGTGCTCGGCGGGATTCGGCCCGCGGAGATATCTTCATGCAAAGTCCTCAGAACCTTTATCAGTCTGATTAGACATTCTAAATGACGTGTGTGCATTGGGACAAAACTAAAATCAGTTTGACGCGTCTTCTGTTCTTCACGGTCAGGGCTGGGAATCTTCCTTCCTTCCCCGTTCCACCTGACTGACCGACTTAGGCAGAGCGGAGACTTCTTTTCCAATGTTTGCTACTGCCTTTTTCTACCAGGGCAAAGGGGCAAAGAGTGAGCTCCCACGAAGGTCCTGTCACCTCCTCCAGGTGTAGTAGGGAGCTGTACTCCTGATGTTCCAGCAGATCAGCCTCAATCTGGTCCAGCGATCGATCCAGCTCCTCTGCAGGGGTGCACTGGTTGTGGTCGTAACAGGTGTCACTCCTTCTGGAGACCGATGGCGTGCGATGTTCTCTCCACCACCTGGTGGGGTCCTATCCCTCTTTTCAGCAGGACCCAGTCCGGTATGGTGGTCCGTAGTCCGTCTCCTCGGTAAGAGATTCTCCATCCTGATGAGAAAAGCTGGACACCAAAGCTTGCGAATTGTTAAACACCCTGTATGGCCTTTTGATTATTTTATCTGTGGGATCCATGGCCCATTTGTGGGTCTGGAAAAAACTGACTGTGGTTACTTCCTAGTGAGTACAACCTGTTTCTTAATTATTGGACACTCTGATGGTCATTATTGCTACTGCTAGTGTGTACTCTTACACTGTAATGTTATAATAAAACTGAACTTGTAAAACTGAAATAAAATGCTATTCTTACATTCATCTATACACTTGAAACTGAAATGAGTACATACTGGACTTCTCCAGGGATACCTGTGTACTCTAGTACCGTCCTCCACCCTTCCAAGCCTTTGCAGTCAACGGATCTACCTACAATAGCAAAGTTAAACATAATAACACAACAACAATACACAATAATACCCTGCAATAAGTAATTTCCTATGCTGGCCTCCTTCCTCCTGGAGCCTGTGGAAGGAACTTCATTAAACGCATGCGCCGACAACATCAAAGTACAATATAACCTTAAAAGTTTTTTAAACAACTGACATATATCACTGTAGAAACAAGAGGAATTTAATCTTCCCTCCAGGTACCTGTCTGTGCGAGAGAGGGGAGCAAGGAAGAAATTCATAAAATTCATAACCACTGAGCCGGTTCCTCAGCAGTAAAACATGTGGTTAAAATACTTTGTTCATGAAACCTTTTATTAGCCCAATTAATCTAATTGAGTCCAGTCAAGTCAGTTATGTTTAAAAATACCGAACCACCACATTTCTCCTTAACCTTTGTTCAAATCCACTTCAGTAGTCTGTGTTTTGATGCTAGGGGCGTCCCCCTTTTCTGGAATCTGTACACATTACAACAAAGAAAGAGAAAAATACTTTTGTTAAACCGATATATACAAGTGCAATGTCGTTTTGTAGGCTTCTGATTTATACCACTTTTCAAATGTCAATGTGATTATCCTAAATGATCCTTTAAATGCTTCAGACTTACTATTGGCTTTTTGCTGTTCATTTAAATATAAAACCCTAAGAAGTTATTTTGTAATGATCTAATCATTGTATGAACTGTTTCCTGCTAACAGCAGCCTTCACCTTCCCCCTCTTTGAAACAGTTTTCTGTTTCAAATCCAAAGTATTACCGGCTGTAATTTACTAACACCCAGTCTGAGTATTAGTTTCAGAAATATAAAATATGGTGTAGTTTTAATCTTCCCCCTACTGTTATTCAATCCAGGTTTTGCAAAAAAAATAGCCAAATATAACCCAAGCTCTCATATAATTTTCCAAAGAGTTAACCATTAAATAAATTTCATCCCTTGTATCAAACCAGACCCACCAAACGAGCTCATTCAAGGCAAAGACAATCATTTATTATTACTTTAGAAAACATTAGTGAACTCAATCCAAATCAGGTCTCAGGTACAGGTTTCTCTTGAATGAGACTTCGTGACCTGTATAAACGAAAAGTTAAAAAGTCAATATTTTGCTCAGGGGTGGGGAGCATTATCCATCGTCCTATTAGGTTTAGAGGTAATAAAACAATTTTCATCTCAGAGCAATTGGAGAAGGGCAAATCATCTAGCACACCCACAGTAGTATTCCTGTGTCATGTTTTGGCACCTGTCTTAAAATGAACCTATGTGAGTGATTATTATCAATGCCAACTGCAGTTTTGATCACGACACCAAGGCGCTCGGATGACCATCACAGACCAAATGTGGGGATGACACCTCCGCCAGGCTGCAGTTGATGTTAGTGACCTTGGACAGATGGACCACCAGCTTTTCTTTCAGCCTTTCTGTCTTCAGTTTGTCTCCCTTGGTCTGGAGACCAGTTCAGCTTTGTGCAGCAGTTCATAGCTCAGCATACAGCGAGACTTGACTGGATGTTCCCGCTGTTGACAAAATCCAGGACCCCCTCTGGACAGTTAATTCAGTTTGTTGTTTGACTGATAGCTCTTTGCTTTGTTTCCATAGTGAAAAGTCATATTGCTTGGCTGACAATTTCTTTGTTGTTGTGTCAATGGTGCTCGACTGACAGTTTCTTTGAAACGTCCCATTGGTCAGTTTCCCAGACGCAACTTCAGCGTCCACCTGAACACATCTGGTATCCGATCTGGCACCCAGCACTAGAGGGTCATAATCAAAACTCAGATGGATGCTGTATGTATCTGAAGACTACCTGTATGTGTTCTGTGGGCCTAGCCAGACTCACCTCCCCAATCCACAGCTCTGTCTTCTCAGGCTGCTGAGAAGGAAAAATAAACAATCCAATTATTAAAAGTCTGATTCAACATTAATCATCTGTTATCAACATTAATCATCTGTTAGCAAGTTCTATTCTGGGACCACAGCGTTTACCTTCAACAGAGTCATTCTGGTATCCTGGATTGCACAACAGATGTTTTAAACGCTCAATTACATAAGAGTGAAAACTTTCATCAAACACTGCACAATCCAATTCTTTACGCCTACTGCGTAAAATATTCCATTCAAAATAACGTCTTCAATCTTTTAGAATATGTGTTTTGACTCACCACCTGATAGTGAGGACCACTCTCAGGTCTACATTATCCATTTAGACTTTGTAAAGGTTTAGGCAGCATGATTATATGTAATCACTGCTTGTTATATACCAAATCTGCAAATTCTTTCATCTCATAACTATGCTTGTTCACTGCATCCTAAACAAAATTCTTCTAATTCAATTCAATTAAGACTATGTCTACACTTCAAGACATCACAGAAACCATTAGCACTGCACAAAAACGTCTACATGCACCTTTGTTCACAAAGCACAACTTCTTAAACTCACCATGTACTCATCTCTGTTCTCCTTATGCACTCATAGGACCTGTGTGAAATCTCAAGATGTTTAGGGTCATTTCATTTACCCACTAGAATTGTTGTTTTCCCATAAATAACCTAGTTCAAGTAGCTCTTAGAAGGAAACAGCTCCTAAACTCTAAACAACATTTTCAATATGTGATAAAATCATTTAGACTGATTAATTTAACCCAAGTATTTCAATTTGAGTTTAGTTAAGACTGATTATTTTAACCCAAGTATTTCAATTTGAGTTTAGTTAAGAGTTTCTTTGACCAGACTACATTTTTTCCTTCATTTTACAAGTGTCAAGGATTTTGTTTATTACTTATTTTCCATTTTGTCGTTTTTTTAGTTGAATTTATAACCTGATTTTATTGTAAATTCCCAGAAGAAATTTTGGCTAATTTGTTTACAATGTGTCATCCAGAAATGCTTAAACTTAATTTGACCTGTTTTATTTCTCCTTCTTTCGGCTTTTCCCTTTTCAGAAGTCGCCACAGCGAGTCATCCTCCTTCACTCCACTCTTTCCTATACACCTTATGTCCTCACTCCAACTACCTCCATGTCCTCTCCAACTGCATTCCTATACCTCCTCTTTGGCCTTTGTCAGACCTACTCCTCACTTCCTCCAGGACCACCCCTACTCCATTTCTCTTTCTATCCACACCCTGATAAAACAGTTCGAACCCAGCACCAATGCTGCGAGCCTTGCTGCTCTTCCACTTGGTCTCTTGGACACCTAAAACATCTACCTTCCTTCTCTGCATCATGTCAGCAGCTCTCTACCTTTGCATGTCTGTGCAGTACGTTTGTTGTCAATTTAACTCTGTCCCTCGCCCGCTTAGTGAGTGGCTGTCTGCAATCTTCATCTTCCCACACAGCGAGCTGTTCCAACAATACCTCAAGTTTACTCCCTCTGACTCCATCTCATATAAATTCGGTTAATTACCGCTCGTACACGGGATGTCCCCCTCTGGCCCTGAGTTTCAAACCATTGCTGCAGATCAACTGTTCCAGAGGTCACTGCCTCCTCCTTTACCTCCAACACTGATTGAACAGACAATTGTTTTTTGACCTTGCTCTCTGTTATCATCATGTTTTATGTCTGGCCTCCGACAGCTGTGGTTTAATCAACTGCGTCCTCATATTGTCTAATTCCGCCGCCTCTATCTTTCTGTTTTTTCCTAGTTTAAACGATGTATTACATTTCTCTCCCAACGTTCAGTGACTGAAAATGGCGTTCAGATCTCCTCCTGCCAAGATCACCCCTAAAATGAGAGCATTAAAAATGTTCAGCCAACGACCTCCTCTCTGCTCACCCTTGTTTTACCTGGTCCAACATCTGACCACCTGTCAGGCTGCTTCCTAGCCTGCCTGATGATGTACCACCTCCAAGCACCTCCTGTCTCCTCCACTGTTCCCGTGAATGAACCCTTAATAAACAGTGTGGTTTGTTTGCCCATCGGACTACTGATATTCCTGACCTCACACACATTTGGTCTTAACTTAGTGTTTTCCACAACTCCCTATCTGACAGTCTGTCCATCCATCACCTCGTTCCTTCTCACGCGGAATGTATTACATCAGAGTATGTCTTCCTCCCTCTTTTAAGCTGTATTCAGCTTACTTCAACGTGTTTGTACTTCTACTGACTTATTTCTGCTAATTTCTGAACATTGTGCTCCTTTCAGCTAATGTTTGGAAGATTCACATATTTCTGCTTACATCCATCCATCCATTTTCTTTACCCGCTTATTCCATTTTGGGTCACGGGGGTCGCTGGTGCCCATGTCCAGCAATCACTGTGCGAGGGGCGGGGTACACCCTGGACGGGTCGCAAGTCCATCACAGGGCCACACAGAGACAAACGTGACAAACAACCATTCACTCTCTCACTCACACCTAGGGACAATTTAGAGTTACCAATCAGCCTAACATGCATGTTTTTGGACTGTGGGAGGAAACCGGAGTACCCGGAGAAAACCCACGCATGCACGGAGAGAACATGCAAACTCCACCCAGAAAGGCCCCTGGACCGGGGTTTGAACCAAGGACCTGCTCGCTGAGAGGCAGCAGCTCTACCAGTTGCGCCACCGTGCTGCCATTTCTGCTTACATTTCAGATACTATTTAGCTGTTTCATGCCAATATCAGCTAATTCCACCTTTCTTTTAAATTAATCCAACTTTTACAGCCTAATTCAGGAAAACCAAGCTCTGCCTACTTACTTCTGGTAATTTAAGATTATTTCTGCTTGTTTTAGCTATTGGTCTGCTGGTTTTTAGCTAATTGCCTCTTTTTTAGATAATTCCCATATTTTGTGCGTGTTTCTACTTATTTCATATTCAAAATTGTTCCATATCTTTTAGATTGTTCACCAATATACTCTTAACTCATGTATTGATCCTGTAGACTTTCCACAGGAGTCACATGTTTCTCATTTATGAGTTCCACACCTGATGACAACGTTCACACAATCAGGCATTCAAATCTTTTATTGTCATTCACTGCTGGCCCCGTTGTGACAAAACAATTCACAAGTCTGTGGTATGAAAAAAACCCAGTGAGTCCAGACTTGTCTTTGCCTTATACAGCAGCGCCCCCTTTCGGTCAGGATATGGAAGCTCCACACACCACCTATCTGAACAGACACACAGAAAAAAAAGAAGAAAAAAAAACGAACCCTTCGCTTCGCCCCCACACACAGACTCACTCCCCCCCCCCCTCTTTTTTTTTTTTTTTTGTCTCCCTCAACCCCCCGGCCTTGAAGCCTTCACACACATAGAAAACACGGCACAAATAAAAGTTATTACAACGTCCTAAAACTAATGTGGCCCCTGACCACATGAAATTTGGCAAATCTACCCTACACAATTCCCTTTGTTCTAAATTATTAATGGCGTCACTTTTAGTGGGCAGTCAACACTCCACAACGCAGACGCGCACGTAGCTACGAGTCCCGGACTCGATTTCCGTCTCTTTCGTCAAAGGGACGGCTTGTACGCCACCACCGCTGATAAGGGAATTGTATTGTTTTCCTTTTTCGGCAGGTCCCCGACCACCCTCCGGCACGAGTCCAACTCGTGAAACTATCTACGAAAGGAAATGTTTTTTTTTCTTTTTCGGCAGGTCCCCGACCACCCTCCGGCACGAGTCCAACTCGTGAAACTAACTAAAACACTACTTAAATGTCAAAGAAAGCGTTCGGCGCTTAGACTCTCTGAATATCGTAAACCACTTCGTCAGAACTAACACGAATCACCGTAAGTTAGCTTTAAATAACCATCTTTATTTCCGGAGATGACCGCATACACACCCACAGAGGAATTTGAATTTGGTTTCAATTTGGTTTACGGCCGAATAGCCATTACTTCGGACCCCTTAAGGTCTAAACAGGTAACCAGCTTACCTGAAATTATCGGGCCCAGTTTTCCTCTGCGTGTGCACCGCAAACCACCTCGATCCAATTCAGTCTAGGCCGGTCTCGCTGCATGTCAGGGTCACCATCTGTTGTGGCTTGCACCACAATCGTGTTCAAGACAGCTGAGACGGTCACCTTAGTTCAAAAGATTTATTTGACAAACAGGAGTTACAGATATTCAGAGACAAACATGAACATATGTAAAATATATGCATATATTGGAGCATTAAAGAACGAACCCTCTCGGTCTGTGCTCTCCCGGAAATGCTTGCTGGGCGTGTGTTATTTCTGGCTTTTATCAAAGTTTGAGAAGGCTA